ACTATTTTCTTGTATTCCAGGAATTAATTGATGAGCTACTGTCCTTTCTTGCTAATGCTACTTCTCCATTACAGTCATGTCTTTACCCTCCATATTCACAGAGTAAATAAAAAATACCTCATTCAAAGTATAACACCTGGGAAAAGCAGTGATTTGAAAATGTACTAGAAGATTTATTCCCTTCTGAGTACTTGTAATTATCACAGGACTTACAATAACTTACCCCACAGAATTTCAATGATACTAAATAGTGTTTGAAAGTCCGGTTCGGTCCGGTTTTTTGATGCCCAGGGGCGTTAACCGTAACCGTAACCGGTCTGCCTTTTCCCCAGAAGTCAAAAGACCAGACCGGACCGCAAAAAGACCGCAGACCGCGGTTTTTTGCGGTCTATAGACCGGTTTCGGTCTGCATCGGTTTTAACCGGTTTATGACCGGTCTTTAGGCCAATATTTTAAAATTATGAATCTGTAAATTTATTAACATCTCTAATAGCTTCAAAACGAGCCCAAGAACGTTAAATTCCATTAGGAATTGGTGCTTCTATAAAATAAGTCTGGTACATCTATTATTCCCAAAAGTAATTTACATTTTAATTCATATCTCTCTCGTTTTTTTACCAAATCGTACGTTCTTGGGTGCGTTTTAAAGGGTATTTAAGGGGCTACAAAAGACCGGTCCAAACCGGTCAAGACCGGTTCACGTTAACCGGTCTTTTTGCGGTCTTTACATTTCAAAAATAAAAGACCGTAACCGCAGGTCCGGTCTTTTGCGGTCTTGGTCCGGTCTGGTTACGGTCTTTTTCCAGTCACGAGACCGGACTTCCAAACACTAATACTAAAGGCATTTTAGTTGAAAGTTAGCTTTTTTTATTGTTTTCTTCAGCATGAGGAGTGCTGCAGATTTGTGGTGAAGAGAATCAAATTACTTTCTTCAATCTTAACTGCTGAAGTTTGTTTCACCATTCTTCAACTTTGCACAGTGGCTGAAAAAGAACTTTGAATTTTGACTAATTTTTTGAACAGCATAATGTGACTGGCTGAAAGCTGGACAGTGTTGGTAGAACAATTTACATAGCAGAAGTATCATAACATAAAGATAACAAACAAATTTAAAAAGCAAATAGACAGGAGATTGTGTACTTACCATCTTCGACGCACTCTCAGAACTGTTAGTGCTCAACATTTTACGAGCTCAAGTAAGGTAATTATTGTGGGAAAATGGTATTTTGTAATAGTTATGTCCGGCACGCAACTCGGCAGGTGGACAAACAACGGTGTTTGCCGCGAAAACGAAGCTGACCACTCCCTGTTGCCATAATATTATCGTGAACCAAGGTACGACTTCACATAATATCGAAGTCTGTCTACGAGAGACTACCATTTCACACCTCGTAAGTTATCTTCTGTTATCTTCCTTCTTCCTCGTCGGTCGCCCTCTCAACCGACTAAATGATTTCGACTTGGCAAACACAGTATACTGCCTCCGACAGAAGACTGCTACCTATAATACCGAGACGCTTCCAACTTGGCTTCGTACTCTTCTCTGCGGGACGGTGGGTTTTGGAGCTGAAGGGAAGCTAAGGTCGCTGAAATGACAACGTAATTAAGATAGCATATATGTCGGAGGAACCCTCACCGACGAGTCACCGTGGAGTGGCGTTAATATTAGCAGCACACATGCACTCACTGCGT